TGACCCTAACCTGGACAGACTATCACCTGATTCCCCATCATGTGTTCTGGAAGTGAGAGATCATTTTTGGTTGAGTTGAGTTTGGGTCAAAAGGAAAAGATGGGAAGAAGCCGCCACCTAACCCTCTTGAAAGGGGACCTGGTGGCACAGTGGTTCAACATCTGGCTGCTAACTAAAAGGTCACCTGTTCAAACCCACCAGCTACTCTGCAGGAGAAAGATGAGGCTGTCTCCTTCTGTAAAGATTATGGCCTTGGAAACCCTAAGGGGCAGTTCTCCTTTCTCCTGTAAGGTCACTATGAGTTGGGATTGACAGTGGGTTTGGGGTTGAACCCTCTTTAGATCACCCCAGGAGACAATTGCAGGACTTCAATGCAGAAGCAGAAAGAGCTGAGGCAGGTGACAGTGGTGGGGGAAGCAGGCTGGGGCAAAGGGACATAATGGAAAGTGACAGAGGATGGCTCCATGACTCCAAGGAACCAACCAGCCTCCAGCGGTCACCAGGAGCCAGACTCAGGAGCTGGGAGGAAAGCCTGTAAATCCCCCCACACCCCAGCCAAGTTCCTAAGACCATGGGATGAGTCGGGACACAGCAACAAGGCCCAGGACCCCGGTTCCTACTCACCTTTTAAACAGTCCAAGCAGACCGATGCAGAACCGAATGCCCGTGATCTCATCCGCTCTGGCTAAAACAGTCCTGAATTGTTTGCCTTCTCCCCAGCCATACATGGCTGAAGGATGGAAAAGGACGCATGGGTCACAGGCAGTACCTGTGCCCAGAGCAGAGGACCCGCCCCCTCCCAGCAGATGGGTGGTCCTTGTGGGTAGAGCGAGTCTGTCAGCAGGGCTGGGGTGGGGGCCCCACTAGGGGCTGGAGAAGGTGGGGTGGTCCAGGGGTTGCACTGCAGTGGGAATGACTTACAGCCTGCCCAGCAAGCGGGGGTCCCCAGCAGGGCAAGGGCTAGCAACAGCAATGTGGCTCTGAGTGGCATGTCACAAGGTTCCTGGGGAGAAGAACAAAGGCCAGGGGGCCAGTGACCCTAGGCCCCTGACTCCCAGACTCTGCTGCGCCACTCCATGGATTGGGCACCTCTTACCTGATCCTCGCTGGACCTGGGTGCTCTCCACTGGCCTTTGTACCCTCCTGGGCTCCGAGGGCCTCTGCCCAGATGGAAGAAGTGAAGGCCACCAAAGAACAGAAAGGCTCTGGGCGTGGGGCCTGTTCCTCGGGGGAGGCTCCCGGATTTGCTCACAGTGTACACAAACACCCAGGGACAGCGAGAGCCATATTATTGTCACCTGTGGGCCAGGTAGAAGTCAGTCCCGTTTGGGTAGCAGCTCAGATGCCGTGGTGGTTCCCTGGGACCAGGGCTCCTGCTTCGTGCGGCACCAGGGTCTGGAGCCTTTGCGTTTTCAGGTGTAGGACGTGCCGGTCCAGGGGGCTTCACTGAGCCCCCTGCCGAGCTCCTGCTGCCCTCGATCCTGCTCTGGGTGTCAAGTCTTACCTACTCCTCATGCAGGAGACTTCCAGAGCCTCCTCAGTGCAGGGCTGGGTGTCACAGGGGTGAGCAGCCCCGAAGGGGGCTCCCAGGCCATGGGAAGGGATCTCCCAGAGCTGCACTCAGCACCACACCAAGAGGAGGCTGTAGTTCCCTGGGAAGGTGGCCATGGAGCCCTGGCTGAGCCTGAGACCGGAATGAGGTGCCCATGGACAAGAGAGGGAAAGTGTGTTCTCAAAAGTGGGGGGCTTGTGAAGAGTCCTGGAGGAGGGGGACAAGCAGACCCAGGTCCAGCCCTTCCCTAGTAAGCAGGTGATAGGCTGAGGGGCTGAGAATGTTCAGAAGGTGGCATGGAATTTCTGGATGGTGGGGTACCAGTGGGCACAGGCACTGGGGTTCGACTTGCATTCACATCTTCCCCCTCTACATATCGTACACTCAGGTGAGTGTCTTCACCGCTCTGTCCCCCTACATATCGTACACTTGGGTGAGTGTCTTCACCGCTCTGTCCCCCGATCGTTTCACGAGCAGAATGCGCACAATCACAGAAGCCATCCCTGGGGCTGTTTCAAGGGCTCAGTCAGTGTCTCTGTGACCAACACTCCCAAGAGTCTGATGGCACGAGGCATGGGTACAGAGCTATTCTTTGCAGCTTTCTTTGAAATC